AAAAATAATTAGTAGAATATATAAGAAGCCATTAGCATGGTTATCTTTGTAAAGGGTAATAGGAGGTAGGGGGGACTTTTATTTGTATGTATTTTCATTATGCTTTACTTAACATATATGGGTATGATGTGCATATATTAATTTTATTTCTCCTATCAATACATTATCTGGGTAATGAGATTATGGCCTGTTTTTGTTTTCTTATTAGTGTCCATATGTTTAATGAATAATCATTTTGAAAATGTACAATAGCAAATTTAAAAAAACAAGTAATGCATAGGCCCTTTCACTAAGAAGTCTGTTTCCAGGGAATTTATCCTTCAGAAACACTTTTATAAGTGTTTGTAGTAGCAGAAAACTGGAAGCAACCTTAACCACATCAAGAGGGATCTCACTGAAAATTGCTGGCACATCTATAACATGGAATACCAGGCTTTCATTAAAAAGGTAGAATGATATGAGCTGATATGATGATAATGAAAAATGCCCAGGATACATTGTTCAATGAAAAGCAAAACAAAAGCTGTCGAATTATATATCTTATGACCTATTCAGTTAAATAAAAAGGCAATAATATATTTAAATATATATGTAAGGAGAAAAAGAGAAAGTCTTGTGTTTGCATGTGCATATAGTGAATCTTTATAAAGTATACACAAGCTGTTAGAGGAAGAGGAGGAGGAAGGAGGCAGGAGAAGTTGCTGGAGGAGAAGGTGAGCATGGCAGCCTCCCTGGTGTTGGGTGAGGATGCAGAGCCCAGCCGCCCCTGGAGATGGGTCTTCCTATGTTGCCCAAGCTGGTCTTCAGCTCCTGAACTCAAGTGATCTGCCCACCTCAGCCTCCCAAAGTGCTAGGATTACAGGCATGTGCCACTGAGCCCAGCTGACCACCTCATTCCATCATGCCGGAAGCGAATTCCTAACACTTCTCACAGTCTCCTGCAGATATTCACCAATATACTCTACAGTAGAATCTAAGATCCTAGAAGAAAATGGCTCCAAAGTTTAAATGAAGTTGGAAAAATACATAGAAGCAGCCTTGCAGCCTCTCTAGGTGTTTGGGGATAATATTCCAGACAGAAATTTGATCCCTTGGATTAGATAACTAGTCATAATGAAGAAAATTAATTTTAAAACCTTCCAGAAATCTTTTAACTTGAATAAAAGTAAAGAAGAAGCTGATTTCATGGTAGTACAACCACCATCGCTAGCCAGGGACTTTGGAAAAGATGATTCCTTATTTGGTAGCTGCTATGATAAAGATATGGCCAGCTGCGATATTAACAGTGAAAATGATAAAGGTGGAAAAAAAAACAGATCAAAAAGCGATGGGTATGTTAAAAAGGCCACTTTCTGCCAAACAGAAGCCAAAAGGCAAGGCGGGCACGCCCTCTGGGAGCTCTGCTGGTGAGGACACCTTCTCCTCCATAGCACTGATAATCTTTAAAGATGTGAGAGCTGAGAGGCCGGTACGGGCCACCTCCCTCTGCAGCCATCACTGCAGTCCTGCGCCGTGGCCTCTTCGGCTCACAAACTCGGAGGAGACATGCATCAAGATGGGCTGGAAGAGGGGACCAAGGCCTTGACTCTCACCTCCGAGTCCAGCCCTGAATGGCATCCAGAAGGATTTCCGCGACCTTCAGTCTGAGACTTCATGCCACGAACAAGCCAATCCACTGAAGAGCTCAGCTTCTCAGAATGTAGACCTGCATCTTCGCCTGGAAGAACATGAGCCTGTTGTTATTGGACTTACGCCTCAGGACAACATTCAATATACCGTGCCTTCAGATGAAGGGATGTATCCTTTGGAAGAATCTCATAGCTATTGTCTGGTCAGTTCTTCTCCCATGAAAGTCTCTGTGGTTCCTCCTGAAGGGGAGGGCGCTCTTTCCCTGGAGATGAGTCAGGTAGACCAGGACCTAGTTGTTGCCCCAGAGATCTTTGTGGATCAGTCCATGAATGGATTGTTGATTGGCACCATGGGAGTACTGTTGCAGAGCCCAAGAGTGAGTCCCCATGATGTCCCTCTACTCTCGTCATTGTCACCTCCGGTGCAGAGCAATCAACTCCAAAGGAACTTCACTGGACCTACTGGTACACAGCCCATGTGGCTGAAAGTATGCTCTGTCATTTGAATTTCGATCCTAGCTCTGCTCCTGAGGTAGCAAGAGTTTATGACTCATTGCAAAGTAGTGGCCCCATGGTAGTGACAAGCCTTTCAAAGGAGCTGAAAAAACTTGCAAAACAAGGATGGTACTGAGAGCCAATCACATGTTGGGAGGCAGAAAGGAAGCTAGCAAACGTTCCAGATGGTTTTTTTCTTGTTTGGGACAGTTCTGACACACTTCATATTACAATTGAGCACTCAAATGGCACGTTTAACTTTTATGAACAACCAGATGTAGAGGACATACATCCATAGTTGATCTATTTGAGCACTCAGTCAGGGACTCTAAAAATGAAGCTTTTTGTTATTCAAGGTCTCAGCTGCTTAGATCTGCAACTTACCTCGTCAGACTGACCAAGCCGGTGTCCCGGTTCACGCAGGTGCGCCCACTGCAGTACCTGTATCGTTTTGGTATGTCAGTATACCAGAACAGACTTAACTCAGAAACTGCCTTTGCCAGACAAAATGAAGGATTATTTATAGGAGAAGCACTACTGAAAGAAAGACTGAGAACCCTGCATCTTGCACTTTGGAAATAAGAAAAAGATTGAAATACAGTTTACAAACTTTCAGTGCCATCAAAATCTTTTGCTGCCTTAACTATTTCAGTTTTATGTGTAAAAGAGTCATGAGTTTGTTTAGGGGCGGGGAAGTGTCAGCAAGGTGTCTTGGGTTTATTTTGGTTCTTTAAAAAGGGGATTCTTGAGGTTTTAGGGGTGTGAATTATCTTTTATCAATGTACAGAATAATCACAATGTGAATTATCAAATTCTTCTTAATGCCCGCCATCCCACCTAGTTCTTTGCTGCCATCCACTGTGATTTTTATTCATTAAACAGAATGGAAATCTCGATGTCTTTTAAATGCCTCATTTTCAAAAGATAGTATTGAATAAATATACCTGTATAATAAAACACAGAATTTACGTATACACTGAAGATGAATTTTTAATCTGTTACTTTAAAAAGATTTATTTAGAATCATAAATTGACATAATCTTGGGTAATTGAATGGTAATCTACAATATATCTTCTAATGACACTTTTTTTCTAAATTATTTCTTAGGTTGTGCTAATTTTATTGGTTGTGAAAAGTTGAATTTTTCTGTTGTCTTCATTTTCATCTTATAGTTTGTCTATTTTGACAAATGACCTTACATTAAAAAATTGTAAAGAAATGTATACCATCGATTTAGAAATTGTTGCCTTCTTTGTCATTAAACTCAGGTACAAATTGGCCTAACATGAAAACCTATGGAATTAGAATTATTGTTAAAGAAATATTAGATGATAATAAAAGAGAAAAAGTATACACAAATGTGGTTACCTCTGGAAATGGAGATGGTGAGGGGACTTTTACCTCTTTCTTTTGTATCATTCTGAAAGAGAATTTATTTGCCATGATCACGTATTATTCTTCTATAAAAAGTTAACGCTGTTTGACAAGAGAATAAATTATTTGGCATGTGAAGTTTGTGCAGTTCAGCCTCCTACAGGCAGTAGCCTGGATCCAGTTACCTTTCCTGTCTCTTCTGGCCGTCAGAGTCATACTTCTGAGTCAGCAAAAGCGTGGGCAGCCTCTGAAATGACTGTATCTACCACGGAATAGATCTGGAATTTGATGGTTTAAGGGGAATTTGAACTCATATAGCCTAACAGTCCCCTCCCTCCAAGGGAGGAGAAATAGAGGCTCAGAGAGGTAATATGGCTGTCAGTCAGCAAGAGAATGACACAGCCAGATCAGGCCTGGCTCAGTGGACTTCCCAGTGTTACCCCCATCTACCACCTTATGTCATTGTGAAACAGGATTAATGAAAAGCAAAATAAGATTATATATTTTGAATGTAGATAAGCTGATCAGTTCTTTATCCTTCTTTCATAGCCATACCAACCTTCCCCATGAATAAAAGGAAGCAGGATTCTGCTATCATCTGCAAAAAGCTCATTTTTTGTAGATTAGAAAACCATATTTACTGTGTGTTCATTGGAAAAGCTTCTTGGGGCTTTATCTTGTCTCCCTTTGTTTTCCACTAATTGTCCCTCTTCTGGGGCAGACACAAAACGCTGTCATTGAAGAGCACTTATTAATTACATTGTATTGACTTAGACTGAGTTGATTCAAGAAAAAATTTAGCATTTTCTCCTTATTAAATTTGACTTAAGAATGATTTTTACCCTGGTAGAGTTTGGAGCTTTTAAGATGTTCAGTATGGGACCCAAAATGGGAGTTAGCTAAATAAACCCCGGGAACTCTTTATTTTATTTTGTCAGAATTCATTCTGGAATTGTACATGAGAAATAGCACAGTCAAGTATATTTTAAAACAAGGCTTAGGGCTGTCTAACCAGGCTCAGAATGACAAGACAAGACAACTGACCAAAGAGAGGGATCTGGCAACCAGCTGCCCCTTTTTATTTTCATGTCCCCAGAACCTCATCTGAATGTTTTAATCTGTCAGCATGTATTTGTCTATTTACATTACATATGTCTCTCTTTATCATCCTGTTTTCCCTCTCATTTTAAAACCTCATATTTATCCCTATTTACCCCAAAAATCTAGGAAGCTCACAGAGGCATATTAAATGCACACATTAGAACATGGATAGATGAAAATGTTTCCAACCCAGTCAGACCATGGCACAAACACCACAAGATGAAATTTAATGTGTCTCCTAATTAAGACCATAAAAGTCCACAAACAGCAGAGTAGGATAGCAGGGGTTTCTGAGGCATGTGATACAATGTTAGACGGTCTCTGTTTGGTGAAACTTTTTTCTTCTTTCAGAGTAATGTGACTTATGAAATACCAAGATTACCTGGCTTCCTCTCTTTCAGGTGAATGGCATTGACCTCCGTGGTGCATCCCATGAACAGGCAGCTGCTGCACTAAAGGGGGCTGGACAGACAGTGACGATTATAGCACAATATCAACCTGAAGGTCAGTCAGAACTCACACTAATAATATTCTGATAAGTCTCTGTGTGGATCTGTACCCTCATGACTCATCATTTGTATTAACTAGAGGAACCGGCATTAGTGTTTTGTAAACCTACCTACCTGTAGTGAAAAATTGACAGTTCGTGTCCAAAGAACATGAACTGTGTTTTTGTTACCTCTAATCTTCCAGGAGAACATCAGGCAGTTAGAAAGGCCTATGAAAATATGAATTCAAATAAATAGCAACCAGCATCCGCTTTATTTTGTTTATATTCTTATCTGGCACACACTTTTATTCACCAATAGATACTGTAAAAACAGTTAGGAAAGAAGGAGAGGTTTCATCTACAGAAATAGACCAGTAGACCATATTCTTTCCTCATGGTATTAACTTAATTCTCATTAACACTGACATGGCTTTTGGATGTCCTTGACCAGGATTTTTTTTTTTTTTTTTTTTTTTTTTTTTTTTTTTTTTTTTTTTTTTTTTTTTTTTTTTTTTTACCTTTTCTGCTACAAGATCCCTTGTTTGAAATACATCACTGTAAACCATGAAACTCAGTGAGATCTCATAAATTGGATTAGCCAACTGAAACTTGATGAGATATCCTAAATTGGATTATCCATGCCCTGCTCTTTGGTTTATTTATACATCTGCTTTTGTGTTCAAAGTGAGACTCATTGAGACAGCTGGGATGTTACTTATTGTGTGGTTGATTTCTTAGAAAATTTATATATAGATTGCTCCTTTGGAAACGAAACATACCTAATGTAAGCACACAATTATGGGTCATATCTTGCTATCAAAAAAAGAGAAATATGTCTATTGTCTTCAAGAAATGAATTCCTTTTGATCCACATGGCTGAACAAAGAGGAGTATTAAACTGCTGACTATGAGTGTCTAAGATGCCATCAAGGAAGCGCCTCTGTGCATATGAATATAAGGAGCTCCTTTTCAAGTGATGAATTGTTAGCATCAATTGTTGTTTGGAAGACTGAGGTTTGTGTTTTGCTTGTGACAGCTTAGATTCTACCATTAATGGTGGCCAATCACATGTTCTGCCCAAAAATAGAGAAAACATTTCTTCCATGCATGTTTTGACATGTTACTTTCAGTTGTGCCTGGCTTTAGAATTAAAAGTTGCAATTAATTTATTCAAAAGTTTTAATAAATGTTTTTTCCTATGTGGCCTAGGCCAGATATGGCCAGAGAGAGGGGGTTTGTGATGGTCACAGATGGATGATGACAACACCAAGGAAACAGTCTCTTCTCAGATAGTTTTGAAAAGTCTTGCCATTTGTTCATTATTAATAGACTTGTATTTCAGTAGAAATAAATGCTTTGAAAAGTATCCATTATAAAGCTGAAAATTAAAAGACATACTCTAGCACCATTTGATTAACAAATTCTACTTCACATAGAGTAAGAACTGTTTCATTGGAATCATCCATTTTCTTAGTAGCTGGTTTTTTTTCAGTCTCAAACTGTATGCCCTTCACCAGCACCTGACTAGCAGCATACACCTGTATGCAGAAAACAGCACATGTACCTGTTTTCCTATTTCTGAAAAATCTCATCTCAAACAATTTTGCAGACTGATAAGATGGTTAGAACCATAGACACAGCAGTTAGAAGCTCTTGGTAGTGATCAAGTGTTCAACTAACCTTGAACAGAATGATTTCAAGCTTTAAAGGTTACAAAAAAAGACAAACATGTCCTGTTCTATCAATGTAAATCTTCATCTTTCTACCAGGGCTTCCTTGCAGCTTGGTTTCCTTTAAGTCATATATTTAATTTGGATACTATGCTGTACTTTATCAAGATGTTTGTTCAAAGGATGTCCTATAAATCATATAAATTGTTTCTTAAAGTGCTTGTAAGTAAATCCACAAACAACAAGCCTTTTACAAAATGCCAAACTATTGATTGGATTCACAGAATGACTTCTCTGTTTTAATAGTCTAACTGTATACTAATTTTTCACAGCTTTAAATTATCTGGAAATGTGGTAATAACATCAATCCATCAGATCTTTTTCTCTCCTTTCCAAACTTGGTGTGTAACTGAGTCTTACTTTAACTGCAGTTTTCAATGAAAAATTGATGGAATTGTTGTTTAGAGACATTTAAATTATACAACAGTTTTAGGAAATAATGAACAATTTACCTTTAACAAATGAAATGAAGAGTGTGTCATGATATTCCATTAGGAAATTCTCACCAAGTCCCCTTCATCTGCACCAGTATTGTCAGTTGTTCGACCCTTACGATAGTGCTGAGAGAAGATTTTACTGACATTTCTTTGGGTATGGTCAAGAATTAGGCTTTCAGTAAATATGTTTTCAGTCATAATCAGATGCTTTATCAAAAATGTCCTTAATGTATTTCTTAGTATTACTGGTTACTCAGAAAAATCTGCCCCTAACCCCAAGTAATAAACCTAGTCTGTCTTCAAGGAATTTTTTAATTTTAATGAATAAGAGGGATTTTTAGACATTAATAGAGCGTAGTTCCTGGTAACATATGACCCAGTTGAATGATCCTGGCAGCAGTATTTCTAAGAATTACGGAATGTCAGAGAAAAGATAAGCCTGCAGGGGTCAGGACAGTGCAAGAGTGTACCATGGAAGTCTGGAAATGGAGCCAGACCTTGAAAAACGGGTTAAATTTCTATTCAGGAGTGGAGGGGGAAAGAATATCTTGCTAAACTACAAAATTGTGAGTTCCATGCATGCAGACAGCATACTTACATTTTATTCACTGATAGCTCTATCTCTAGTGTCATACTCGGTATTTCTCAAAGAGTTGCTGAACTAATGGATAAAAGCTAACGATTCTTTAGTATTTGAGTTTTCATGTGAAGATAATTGAAGGTTGAAGGGATTCTTCATTTTCACTACTGTGCTTTTCATTTTTCCTTCAAAGACTTAAAGGAATTGCTGAAGAAATGTGTATTGCAAAATATCAAACTATTTCCAGCTGTGTTCCTCATAGGGCTTAGTATATTTTGTGATAATTATAAATAATTTATAAAATTTGTAATTATCACAATGTAACAATAAATGCCTTTGGCAAGTTTTACTTCACAAAGCAAAACCACAATTATACTCACTTCTGCTTAAAATAAGCTTGGCTCCAGTTGTCCACAGGACTCTATCCATCCTCAATCTTATTCAGTGTCTGGTTTACAGGAGTAGAATTGACATCAATTTAAAAGTCATATACGATGTTTTTCTCTGGTGGTGTGATTGTGATTCATTTTTGCCATCTTTTAAAATCCAGTTTGCATAATTTTCTTACTTTAAAGTTAACAGGTATCACATTCGTAAGAAGAAGAAAATGATGAAATTGTTTTTCTTTCAAGAGGATTACATATATTATACTTCAATAATAATCCCATTTAAGCACTATGCAAAGTTAATTCTTGTAAAAACTTTAATTACCTATACGCAGTTAATGAAGTTACTATAAGGCCATTTCACACAAGGACAGTGGCATTAGAATGCCATACACACATGTACACACACAGGTACCCCTTCCCATTCCTTACCGTTCCCAACCATCTTCCCCTTTGATTTCAGAATTATCTTTCTAAGAGATATGACACCAAGATCCCTGTGCACAAACCTCTTGCCCTTCACAGTATATTCCCAGCCAACTTTCATGCTCCATTCTCCATTCACCCCACCACTCCCCACCAGTATCAGTCTTTTTCATTGTCCCCCTACTGCACAGGACTGCTCTCTGCTCTTAACGCTTGATCCTGAACTGTGCCCTTCCTCTGTGGATTCCTCTACCCAGAATTGCCTTTCTCCCTTTCCACCTGCAGGATTCCTACTCATCTTGAGAGCCCTCATATGTCAATTCCATTATAAAGCTATCTTTAATCTGCTCAGTCAACATTAATTGTTTCTTTATCTGAGCTCCCCAATGCTGTATGTAAACACCTGGTGTTCCGCTTATCACAGTATGCACATCTCTCCACTCAAGGGAGCTCCTAGACAGCAGAGACCCTTCTGTCACTCATTTTATATCTTGTGTTAATCCATGCGGTGTGAATTTGACTATAGTTTATTAATGAGTTATTAAATGAGTCTGCTATTAATTTACAAATGCAATATAATGTTTTTAGTATGTTGACATATATTAATAATAGGTGCCTAAGAAATGTTTGCTGAATAAACATTAAAGGAATGGCATGGGGTTTTTATATTAGATGGAGAGATGGTAACTGAATCCCTGGTTTGGACATTTGCTGTTGGCACAGTTTTTAGATGGTGGCTTTTTGTTTTCAGTTATAAAACCTTTAGCAGTCCTCATAGATAAGCTCCCTTTCCCCTGCATTGCAGAAAATTCACAGCTGTTGTTTTGGAGTATAGCACAATGACAAGATGATTAAAGCACTAACATTTTTTTCAAGTTCTGAAACTCAACCTTGACACCATTGATGAATAAAAAGGGCATTGATTACAACCTAATTACACATTTTTCAAGAAAGATAACACAGCGCTTCCCCAAGTAAGATCAGGGTAAATCTGATCTGTATTTGCTGTCTTCCTTCTAATAATATCTATATTTATTGTGAGATAACTGACTAGGTTTTAAATAATAAATAAGCCACTGGACATTCACTTGAAGAACTAGATAGACAGTAGAAAGTACTAGATAAAGCTCAAAATGGAGTTGATTAAGAGCCAAGTGGTCCCCAGGAGAACCAAAAATTCTTTTGCCTTTAATATGGCTTCTCAGGACATTGTTGGAGACACTGCAAGGGTTTCAGAATGCCCTGAAGGTAGAAAAGAAGTCATGGATGGTACAATCCTTACCAGTAAGCAGGAGCTTTCAGTGACTGTGGCAGGACCTTTCATCCACCCTTTATTCTTTAACTCAAGGTACTTGAGTTAAAAGCCCAAAGAGCAGAGTGGAGACTCATAAGTGTAGTCTGGCTTATGGAATTGTGGCGGAGTAACTACATGATTCATTTATTCATTATACATTC